AACAAATAGTTCAGGGCACTCGTTATAAAAAACAAAACAAAAATAATCAAACAAACACACACCCATAGCAGAACTCGGAAAATGTCCGTACGCGGTCACATGATGTCCTCATGCCCGGCGTCATCAAGTCCGGAAGAAAACAAATCAACGTGGGTGCTCCGCGAAGAGGAAAAACAAAACAAAATACAGCAGAAGTAGTCTTACCGGTCACGGAGGTGTCCCACTGTTTTTCGAAGACTTCAGACCGAAGACTTCAGACCCAGGACTGAGGCTGTAGACCCAGGACTGAGGTTGTAGAAGTGGCTCCTATACAGGGTGGGGGGTGTAGCCCATGGGTCGGGAGCAACCAGCTTTAATTGCAGAACCCGATGTTTGATGTTGAAAGAGAACATATCATTTCTCACTTCTACCACCATCAAACATATTAGAATTATCGGACGTTGTTGTGTTTGTTGCAGATCTACAAAATCCATCTACAGAATGGGGTTCACCTGTGATCAGTGTGGAAAGACCTGCAGCTCTGCTTCTGATCTAAAGAGACACCACAGAACTCACACTGGAGGAAAACCATACGAGTGTGATCTGTGTGGAACATGTTTTACTACAAAAGAAGGTCTCAAGGTCCACAACAGAATCCACACTGGAGAAAAACCCTTCAGCTGCGACGATTGTGATCAGAGTTTTAGAAAAGAGGGTCATCTCAAAGCTCATCAGAGGATCCACACAGGAGAGAAACCATTTGAGTGTGACCAGTGTGAAAAAACATTTAGGACCAAACAGCTGCTCTCACGACATCAGCATGTCCACACAGGAGAGAGACCTCACCAATGTGACCAGTGTGAAAAGACTTTTACATGTTTATCTGACCTCACTGTGCACTACAGAATCCACACTGGAGATAAACCATTCGTCTGTGGAGACTGTGGGAAGACGTTTACTCGGTCTTCCAGCTACAAAGCACATGAGAGGATCCACACTGGAGAGAAGCCCTTCAGCTGCGACGATTGTGGTCAGAGTTTTTCTCGGAGTGGTAATCTCAAAGTGCATCAGAGAATCCACACTGGAGAGAAGCCCTACAGCTGCGACGATTGTGGTCAGAGTTTTTCTCAGAGTGGTCATCTCAAAGTGCATCAGAGAATCCACACTGGAGAAAAGCCATTTGCATGTGACTTCTGCAGTAAAACCTTTAAAACTGCAGCAGAGCGCACACGTCACCATCGGAGCCACACTGGAGAGAAGCCGTACGAGTGTGACCAGTGTGGAACATGTTTTTCCCAAAGAGGAACTCTTGACCAGCACAAAAGAATCCACACTGGAGAGAAACCCTTCAGCTGCGACGATTGTGGTCAGAGTTTTTCTCAGAGTGGTCATCTCAAAGATCATCAGAGGATCCACACTGGAGAGAAACCCTTCAGCTGCGACGACTGCGGTCAGAGTTTTTCTCGGAGTGGTCATCTCAAAGTGCATCAGAGGATCCACACTGGAGAGAAGCCCTTCAGCTGCGACGATTGTGGTCAGAGTTTTTCTCAGAGTGGTTCTCTCAAAGTGCATCAGAGGATCCACACTGGAGAGAAACCCTTCAGCTGCGACGATTGTGGTCAGAGTTTTTCTCGGAGTGATCATCTCAAAGTGCATCAGAGGATCCACACTGGAGAGAAACTATTTGTCTGTGAAAAGTGCGAAAAGTCTTTTACTCGAAGTTCATCTCTTACTAAACACATTAAAACCTGTAGAGAAGCAGGTCTGAAGCAGGTCTGAAGCATCTGGACCAAAGTGAAGGAGACAGAGCTGAGGCTGCATCCTGTGAACCCAGAGTCAGACTCTACAGGATCACACTTCAGTCTTAACTCCTGGTTTGGGGAAAGAATCCATTCTGTTCAGTGTATCATTTTCATGTTTGACTTTTCTGTTCCTTGTTGTGACTCTATGATGTTGGTTTGTTGTGTCTTTTGTCACAAGGTGGCTCTGGGCCTGTGACAAATTGAGGGACAGACAGGTGTGGTCGTTCAATATGTTTATTTTAAATAATAAAGACAACAACAAAAGATAATAAAGAATGAGGTGTGAGTATGTGAGCCGTGGAATGTGTTCAGTGTGTGCAGGTCAGTGAATGAAAACCAGTGTATGTGTGTATATGTCTGAGTGTGAAACTAAAGCTAATTTTAACAAATGACAAAACAAAGAATAAAAGTTCCAGTACCTGGAGGGAGCAGAGAGAGAGTGTTAGTAAGATACACATTTATGCACAGGTGCCCCAATCACTGGGTCCGCCCTGCCTGAGATAGAACCGCCCGCAGGTCAAAGAGGGAAAGGTGCAGACCCAGGAGGGAGAGGAGCAACATGCTTTATGAATGCAAGGGAAATGTAGGTACCCCAGCTTTAATTTAGTGAGTTGTAGTTTCAGGGCTACAGGTAGTTCCGCTGCATTTCTCACAGCGCTGTATTTATCGCGTCCACAGGTTTTCCAAAGATCCGCACTTGTCCTGTCAGCGCCGGTCACATGGGAATGAGTCCGCTGTGGCACCAGAGCATGTGGAGGCCCCCCCCCCACTATTTGAGAAGCACTGCCCTAAACATTGTGTTTTCAATTGTTACTGTACTGTAGTATCTATTGTGTGTCATGGATCCTCCATAGAGTTACTCATGTTTGCATTGAGTTGTGATATAACTGCATTTTCTACTTTATGTACTGTAACTATTCTCATGAAACGCACAAATCTATAGTAAATGCCCAAAACATTTGAGAATTAAAAAAGTGTTGCTCAAATGCATCCTGGCAGTTGTGAAACTGTCAAAAGAACAGTGTCACATTCTGAAAATTGTGTTTTCAATTGTTTTGGTGATGTGGTTAATGATGCTCATAGTGTTCACATTTTTGCAGACCATGAGAGGTGTTTTGGTGTGATGGGTTGGTTTAGAGAATATGAGTCACTGTTTTGGTGAGATGGGTTGGTTTAGAGAATATGAGTCACTGTTTTGGTGAGATGGGTTGGTTTAGAGAATATGAGTCACTGTTTTGGTGAGATGGGTTGGTTTAGAGAATATGAGTCACTGTTTTGGTGAGATGGGTTGGTTTAGAGAATATGAGTCACTGTTTTGGTGTGATGGGTTGGTTTAGAGAATATGAGTCACTGTTTTGGTGTGATGGGTTGGTTTAGAGAATATGAGTCACTGTTTTGGTGTGATGGGTTGGTTTAGAGAATATGAGTCACTGTTTTGGTGAGATGGGTTGGTTTAGAGAATATGAGTCACTGTTTTGGTGTGATGGGTTGGTTTAGAGAATATGAGTCACTGTTTTGGTGAGATGGGTTGGTTTAGAGAATATGAGTCACTGTTTTGGTGAGATGGGTTGGTTTAGAGAATATGAGTCACTGTTTTGGTGAGATGGGTTGGTTTAGAGAATATGAGTCACTGTTTTGGTGTGATGGGTTGGTTTAGAGAATATGAGTCACTGTTTTGGTGTGATGGGTTGGTTTAGAGAATATGAGTCACTGTTTTGGTGTGATGGGTTGGTTTAGAGAATATGAGTCACTGTTTTGGTGTGATGGGTTGGTTTAGAGAATATGAGTCACTGTTTTGGTGTGATGGGTTGGTTTAGAGAATATGAGTCACTGTTTTGGTGAGATGGGTTGGTTTAGAGAATATGAGTCACTGTTTTGGTGTGATGGGTTGGTTTAGAGAATATGAGTCACTGTTTTGGTGAGATGGGTTGGTTTAGAGATGAGTCACTGTTTTGGTGTGATGGGTTGGTTTAGAGAATATGAGTCACTGTTTTGGTGAGATGGGTTGGTTTAGAGAATATGAGTCACTGTTTTGGTGTGATGGGTTGGTTTAGAGAATATGAGTCACTGTTTTGGTGTGATGGGTTGGTTTAGAGAATATGAGTCACTGTTTTGGTGTGATGGGTTGGTTTAGAGAATATGAGTCACTGTTTTGGTGTGATGGGTTGGTTTAGAGAATATGAGTCACTGTTTTGGTGTGATGGGTTGGTTTAGAGAATATGAGTCACTGTTTTGGTGTGATGGGTTGGTTTAGAGAATATGAGTCACTGTTTTGGTGAGATGGGTTGGTTTAGAGAATATGAGTCACTGTTTTGGTGTGATGGGTTGGTTTAGAGAATATGAGTCACTGTTTTGGTGTGATGGGTTGGTTTAGAGAATATGAGTCACTGTTTTGGTGAGATGGGTTGGTTTAGAGAATATGAGTCACTGTTTTGGTGTGATGGGTTGGTTTAGAGAATATGAGTCACTGTTTTGGTGTGATGGGTTGGTTTAGAGAATATGAGTCACTGTTTTGGTGTGATGGGTTGGTTTAGAGAATATGAGTCACTGTTTTGGTTGGTTTAGAGAATATGAGTCACTGTTTTGGTGTGATGGGTTGGTTTTGAAAAGAGACTGTTGTGTGTACGTAGCTTTAGAAAAGAGGTTTGTGTTTAGAGTTTTGAAAAAAGGGAGGGCAGTATCGTGAAATGTGTTTAAGCAATAGAGAAAAACTAAGTTCCTGTGTCCTGATTGTTTAAAGATCACGCTTTTGCACTTCCCTCAGTGTTTGCTTCAGTTCAAGAACAGACCATAATAAATAACATTTGAGTTGAGTCTTATTTTTGGGTTTACTTCAGTTCGGTTTAGTTTTTTGGTTTAGTGGCACCTAGGGGATATAAGGGGGCGGTACAGGGCGGGCCTTCATGCACCTGGGTGGGCCTATGGTTTTTTACCAGTTCTGGGAGATGCAGCATTTTTGTGTTGTTTGCCTGAAACTTGATGAATAAACCCCTTTTGAACTTTACATTTTTTGGAATGGAAAATTGTTTATTTTTTGTACTGCGTAAACCACTTACCCATGGTGCATTCTAGTGATTATTTGAGTTTGTTCTTAAGTTTGGTTACATTTGGTTTGATAGTCTATTTTTTGACAAATAGTCACTACATGCGAGTAAAAAACCTTGCCCTTGAACCAACAAGAATACTCATCACATCAATCGAGTGGTTTCTTGCGGATAAATGCGTGGATGGCTGCGTAAAGTTTGTTTTGATTCATCCCCTTCGGGTCCTGATTGCTCCAGCTGCCTCACCTCAACAATCAAAGCCCTCCTGGTCTCCTCTGCAAATGGTATGTGGAGTATTACTAATGCTGTAATGGAAAACAGCCAAACGATTGGAGTTTGAACATAGTAATTAACACTGCCATATTCAAGGATATCAATGGAGATTAAAGAAAGGATTATCTGCAGTACCATTGCGCACCACTAGTCGCAACAAGCCAAGTGAAATAAAATAAAGTTGATTGTTGCTTAGTGCCGCATTTATTCAAACAGTGGATTGTATAAAAAGGAACTACAAAAGTCCAAAGGGGAAAATGTTGGACGTGTCGAAAGCCATTTCAGTCACAGAAAATGATGTGCAATCGTCAGTCAAGAGGAAAACCAAACTAACACCTGCTGGTCTGAGCTTTTACGTGCAAACTACTCAAGATAAACGGAAAGCCAAAATTAAAAGGCTTATGGAGGATTTGAACATTTTGATGAAATCCAAGGACAATGAAAATTCAGTTGCGTCACTTTTCAATGTGTTCACGCAATGTCAACAAGACGCAAAAGCTGCGCATGATTCCTTCATCAATCTGGCACTTCCTCTTTGTTACATGTGTATGTTATGAGGACCCATGTTGACAGGTTTTGTACCTGGGGGGACGAATTAAGGAGTGACACTAACCCTGAGATACGGGGCTGTTAACAGTGCACTGGAGTTAATAAAGTTTACAGTAAGCAACTATACTGCTTTAACCGTCCATTCTGTATAGGACCAGGACAGAATGAAACATGGTGGCAGCGGTAGAGGAATTGTGCCGTGAGTGAAAGTACTGCTGGTTTGCAGCTGTTAGCCTAGCCCGAGTACGCACGAGGTGAAGTCGTCGTGTGATGTCGACTGCGGAGGTGAAGAACGAGCCGAGAAGAGCCGCGGACTTCGCCATGGAGGGGTTAAGACCACCACCGACACTTTGTATGGACTCTACCAATCTAGCAAAGACATGGAAGAGTTGGAGAGAAGAGTTCACGTTGTATACGGACCTCACCATGCCTGACGCAGAGGAGACAACGAAAGTCAAGTTGTTTGTCTACCTCCTCGGAGAGAGAGGAAGGGAGCTTTTGAATACGTTATCAGGCAGTGGAGCCTCCGCGAGTGCAAGAAGGACCGTAAGTTCAATGATTAAGCTTATTGATGAACATTGTAATCCAAAACTGAATGAGACAGTTGAGAGATACAAGTTTTTTGTCAGAAACCAAACACAAGATGAGAATATTGACAAGTATGTCACAGATTTGAGAGTTTTGGCCAGCACGTGCAACTTCGGAAATATTAAAGACTCACTAATAAGAGACCGCATAGTTTGTGGTACGAACAGCTCTGCTATGAGGGAAAGACTGTTAAGGGAAGGAGACTTAACACTGGACAAATGTGTACAAATATGCAGAGCATCCGAACTGTCTAAGGAGAACAGTAAAACCATACAAGGCAGAACACTGGAAGAAATACATGCATTGAAATATGGTCCAAGAAAGGACATAAAGGAAGAGATCTGCTGCAACTTTTGTTGGAACACACATGAGAAGAATAAACGAAAATGTCCGGCTTTTGGGAAAAAGTGCAAGAAATGTGGAAAGGAGAACCATTTTGCTGTGAAATGCAAGTCAAGACAAGACAAATACAAGAAAAGCAGACAAATAAATGCAGTTTCAGAGTCCAGTGATTCATGTGAGGACATTATGACAATAACAGAAGTGTGTGATAATCAGGAGAATGTAAACCAAGTGAAAGAGGCACACAGTAAGAGCCAGCAGCTCTTTGCGGGTATGCTACTAGACAAGAAGCTTGTTAACTTTCAGATAGACTGTGGTGCTACTTGCAACGTTATCCCAGTACAGAGGTTGAATCCAGACACGCAGCTTGAAAAGACAGAGAAGGTCTTAGTCATGTACAACAAGAGCAGATTAAAACCACTAGGAAAATGCAGAGTCAAACTGCGAAATCCAAGAAATGAAAAATTGTACAGACTGGAGTTTCAAGTGGTTGATCAGGAGGACAGGATCCCCTTACTAGGCAGGAAAGCTAGTGAGGCAATGAGCCTGATCAAAGTTCAGTATGAGAACATCTTGGCTATTGATAGCATTGTAAAAAAGGAATGCTCAGAGAAAACCGAGCAGAACAATGAGGAACAACTGAATATGGACAAAATAAAAACTGAGTTTGGAGATGTTTTCACGGGTATAGGCTGCTTAGAGGGCGAGTACAAGATCGAAATCGACAACAGTGTACCACCGGTAAAGTTGCCCAAACGCAGAGTGCCTGTAGCGATGATGGCACCGCTAAAAGAAGAACTGAAAGAACTGGAGGCGAAAGGAATAATTGCCCCAGTAGAACGCAGCACAGACTGGATCAGCAGCATGGTCTCTGTGACAAAACCAAATGGAAAACCGAGGATCTGCATCGACCCCAAGCCACTGAACAAAGCGTTGAAGAGGAGCCATTTCCCTCTCCCCACCATTGATGACATTTTGCCGGAGTTGTCGAATGCCCAGGTATTCACAGTTTGTGATGTGAAACATGGCTTTTGGCACGTCAAATTGGACGATGAGTCGAGCTACCTCACCACCTTTGCTACCCCATTTGGCCGGTACCGTTGGCTCAGAATGCCAATGGGTATCAGTCCAGCCCCAGAAGTGTTCCAACGGAAACTCATGCAGGCACTGGAGGGCTTGCCGGGGGTATATGTCATTGCTGATGATGTGTTGGTGACCGGTGAGGGAGTGATGCAGGATAAGGCCAATGAGAATCACAATGAGAACTTGCGACGTTTCCTACAGAGATGTAGACAGAAAGACATTAAGTTGAATGTGGACAAATTTAAGTTGAGGAAGCAGTCGGTACCTTACATTGGACATTTACTGACCGCAGAGGGTCTCAGGATTGACCCAGAGAAGGTGCATTCTATAAGAGAGTTGCCCAGGCCCACAGATGTTAAGGGGGTACAGAGACTTGTAGGCATGTTGAACTACTTGTCAAAATTTTGTGACCACCTTTCAGAGGACTGTGAGGTTTTGCGACAGTTAACGCACAGGGACAATATGTGGGAGTGGACTGAAGTACATGAGAATGCACTGAAGAGACTGAAGGAAAAAATATCAAATGCACCACTACTTAAGTATTACAACCAGAGTGAGGAGCTCACATTGCAATGTGATGCTTCAGAGACAGGACTGGGGGCTGCACTGACTCAGAAGGGTAAACCTGTGGCCTTTGCCAGCCGAGCGCTGACTCCTACAGAGAGGGGTTATGCCCAAATAGAAAAGGAATGTTTAGCCATTGTATTTGGTATGGAAAAATTCCACCAGTATACTTATGGTAGGAGAGTGACTGTACAGAGTGACCACAAACCACTTGAGAATATTGTACGAAAGCCGCTACTTAGTGCACCAAAGAGATTACAGAGGATGTTGTTAAGACTGCAGAAATATGACATTAATGTGATCTATGTTCCAGGACGAGACATGCTTCTAGCTGACACACTTAGCCGAGCATACTTACCGGACACTAATCAGGGAGACACGGAGTCAGAGTTAGAGACTGTGAACATGATAACATATTTGCCCATTTCATCAGAGAGACTTTCGTCCATCCGGGATGCAACAAAGGAGGATTTAAAGTTGCAGAAAGTGAAACGACTGATACTCACAGGTTGGCCAAAGAACAAAAGAGACATTGACTTGGATATTCAGCACTATTTTGCTTTTCAGGAAGAGCTGAGTTTTCAAGATGGAATTGTATTCAGGGGAGAAAGAGCAGTTATCCCTGACACACTGAGAGCCGATCTTACCCGACGTATACACTCTTCACATCTGGGAGTTGAAGGATGTCTCAGACGAGCACGTGAGTGTGTGTACTGGCAAGGAATGACAGAGCAGATTAAGACTCATATAGCAAAATGTGACATCTGCAGGTCTGTTGACACAAAACAACAGAAAGAGACTTTGCAACCCCATGACATTTCCTTTAGACCCTGGGCCAAGGTAGGGACTGATCTGTTTTCTTGGCATAACAAGGACTATATGGTGACAGTGGATTATTTTTCGAACTTCTGGGAAGTCGATTATCTCCCAGACACTAAAAGTTCCACAGTGATTCGCAAATTGAAAGCACACTTTGCTCGTCAGGGGTCGCCAGATATTCTGGTGTCAGATAACGGACCACAGTATACATCACAGGAGTTTAGGACATTCAGTCAGAAGTGGGAATTCGAGCACAGGACGTCATCACCTGGATACCCACAAAGCAACGGGAAGGCTGAATCAGCTGTTAAAACTGCAAAGCGCCTTATGCAGAAAGCAGCAGCGGCAGGGCAAGATCCATACTTGGCGATGCTGGACCATCGTAACACGCCAAGCCAGGGTCTCGACACAAGCCCGGCGCAGCGACTTCTGAGTAGGAGGACCCGGACCCTTCTTCCTACTAAAGAGACACTGCTGGAGCCGAAAGTGACTAACGATGAACAGGGACTGATCAACAACAGGCTGAGACAGGAAAGATACTATAACCGCACGGCGAGGGACTTGGACACGTTCAAAGTTGGGGAAAGTGTTCGTGTTCAGCCTTTTGAGCCATGCAAGACGTGGAAGGTTGCTAAAGTGGTTAAACCTGCTAGCCATAGATCTTATGATCTTATGAGGTTGAGCTAGAGTCGGGTAGTGTACTGAGAAGAAACAGACGCCATCTTAGACACAACTACTGTCCGTCTACTCCACCTTCTTTGTTTGAGAATCCCTTTCCATAAGTGTGGAGATTACCAACGAGTAATGAGTGACCAGAGGATTCTCATCTGGACCTGGCCTGGACCTGGCCTGGACCTGGTCTGGACCTGGTCTCAGACATACGTACTTTTGACTTTGTAAACTGTTGGTTTTGCACTTTACTTTTGTTTTCAATAAATCTGTGATTGTATCAAGACTGTATTTCATTCATTTATTATTATTGTAGCTGAGGTTTGGGTATCGATTGTTTGTCTGGTCTCGGAGTCTGCTGTAGTCCAGACCCGAGTCCGGACTAGCCTAGCCTAGC